GACGACCTCCATAGGGCGCAAGCCTGTCAGTCTCGCCTAAGCTCGCGGAGCTAGGCGACGACCTCCATAGGGCGCGAGCCTGTCCGTCTCGCCTCAGCTCGCAGAGCTAGGCGACGACCTCCATAGGGCGGGCGCAAGCCTGTCAGTCTCGCCTCAACTCGTGGAGCTAGGCGACGACCTCCATAGGGCGCAAGCCTGTCAGTCTCGCCTAAGCTCGCGGAGCTAGGCGACGACCTCCATAGGGCGCGAGCCTGTCTGTCTCGCCTCAACTCGCGGAGCTAGGCGACGACCTCCATAGGGCGCAAGCCTGTCAGTCTCGCCTCAGCTCGCGGAGCTAGGCGACGACCTCCATAGGGCGCAAGCCTGTCAGTCTCGCCTAAGCTCGCGGAGCTAGGCGACGAACTCCATAGGGCGCGCTCGCCTCAGCTCGCGGAGCTAGGCGACGACCTCCATAAGGCGCAAGCCTGTCAGTCTCGCCTAAGCTCGCGGAGCTAGGCGACGACCTCCATAGGGCGCGAGCCTGTCCGTCTCGCCTCAGCTCGCGGAGCTAGGCGACGACCTCTTTAGGGCGAAAAGCCTGGCAAATCTCGCCTAAGCTCGCGGAGCTAGGTGACGACCTCTTTAGGGCGAAAGCCTGGCAAGTCTCGCCTAAGCTCGCGGAGCTAGGCGACGACCTCTTTAGGGCGAAAGCCTGGCAAAGTCTCGCCTAAGCTCGCGGAGCTAGGCGACGACCTCTTTAGGGCGAAAGCCTGGCAAGACTCGCCTAAGCTCGCGGAGTTAGGCGACGACCTCTTTAAGGTGAAAGCCTGGTAAGCCTCGCTCAGGCTCGTGGAAGCTAGGCGACGACCTCTGTGATTGACGAGGTCATCGCGTAAGACTGAGAATGAGAGTCTTGGGAGACTTAGCAATAGTTGTGCTAGGTGCAAAAGCCCGTGGTCACAATGTTAAGTGCTTCTAGGACTTGGTGAATGAAGAAGTGTGGTTACTTGTACAAGATAAGTTATGTAAGTGCGAAAAATTGAAACAAACAAGCAACACAATAAAAGCAAAGTATCGAGCGAGTTTACGGTTACATGCCCAAATAAAAAAGTTCGTGCAAGAATAAAGGGTTCGTGGCTACGCGCCGACATAACAAAAGAGATAATCTAGAGAGAGGTTCCATGCAACCGAGTCGACAGAGAAACAAAAAGCCATAAGCGGGTGGCACATGTAGATCTAGGAGGGGAGTGTGTTGTCCTCCGACTCGAGGATCTCCTCCGCCTCTAGGCCGACGGTAGTGGCGATGGCCTTCGCGACGGTCTCCAGGGCCGGCTC